CGAGCTTGAAAAGTGCATAGCACTGTCACCCCAAAAGAGGCCATTTTCTTCATCAAGGCAGAACCGCTACGGGCCCCACCAATAAACTGTCCACGCGAATTAGCAGGACGAACTTACCAGCACCGGAGGTGCGCAAAGGCCGCCAGACTGCGCAGAGCAGTCTGACGGCCACGACGATGTTGCTGTTGCTGTCGCTGATGCCGAGGGTGATGTTGCTGATGATGATGTTGTTGAGCGAGAGAGTGAAAGAAAGAAATTCCGCGCGTCAGTGTGCTTGTATGCGCATAGCAGTGCCAAGGCGGAGCTCGAGGTGTTTCACTGCCAAGGCATCAAAACAAAGTCACAGTGAACGAGACGCACTCTCTCCAAGTAAGAGGCTCTTTGTGGAAGCAGCTGTCAGAATGCATGGTTCTTTTCGTGCCAGACCTGTTTCCACCGAGAGTTGTTTCCACCGTGAGTTAATGGGATGATAGCGCTCCCTGGACGCAACTCTGGATCAAATGTGATCATGCATTTTTACAGCACTTTCATCACTTCAAGTAATTTCTCGAGAGCCAGATCGGGGGTCTGACAGTAACTGCCACACCTTCTGCTGATGGCTGACTAGTCTCACGGTAAGTCACGTTATCATTTTGTGTCAATCAAAATGCACAGTTGCTTCCTCAGGCAGGACTATGGTCATAGGGATGTCCTGAGATTAACATCCCTCCCGTGGACTTGAGTGCTTTCTGGGGATTAGTATGCATTTCTAAAGCGTCTGTAACACCCTGCGCCAAAGCTAGCAGCATGCATCCGAAGCTCAAGACGTCAACTCCTGGTGTATCTTATGTTACATAGCTACAGAATTACTCAAAAATACCCTGCTCTTGAACGAAACTCAACAAAGGAATACCGTTTCGTCCGCCCTCCCAAGCCAACCATCTGAGTCAGTGAGCTTATAACGATGCACAGTGTTCTTCGAAAAGAAGTGATCTTTCAGAAAGAGCTGGTAAGCCTGGGGCGTCTCTACGGACAGCACCTGTTTGCTAAGAGTATCGTGCATGTCTGCAATCTCAGGCTCGATCTTTGCCATTTCAGGAAGCATGCAAAGATAAACGTTCTCGCTGCCTCGCTCTGCCAGTGATCAAGCACGTATAGAAAAGTCTGTACAGACATGCACGATAGTCTTCGAAGACGAAATGACTCGTCCGAGAGCCAGCACCATTCCACTATCTTTGCTACATCTATGATCTGAAACGTTCTTACCTTTTCGTGACGTACAAAAAGTTTGCTGCGAGAAGAGTGGACTGTGAATTTCACGTTTAAATTGCACCGATTGGGAAGTGGCGATTACTGTATTTGAGTCAAAAGCAAGCGAATTTGATCGCCTTTCATTTCTTTTATACCGTACTCGAGCCCTTCCTGTAGAAGGACAACTATTGCATAGCAAGTCATCAAAAACATGGGTAGAACCGTTCAGAAAAGCAATCCCAACGCAGCAACATGTATCAACGCCCCGTTCACTCCGCTTTCGTTTAGCAATGCCCATCCATGAACCAAAAAAGATGATGAAGTGACCAACTCTACTTCTTGCGCGATGCTCTGCCGCTCTTCGTCACAACGGCAGCGGCACCGCCCTTGGTAGTTCCGTTGGAGCCGGTCGATGCTACACTGCCTGCACGAGATGACGTGCTTGATGCTGCCTTGCTGCTGCCCTTCACTGTGTCAAGCTGCTTGTTCTGTAGACTTGTTAGTCTCAAGATGTCTCATTCTTCATCTCCGATGCGTACCTTGACGTTGCCCTTTGCCTTTTTGGTAGTAGGCTTAACTTCTTCCTCCTCACTCGATTCCTCATCAGCAGCTCTCTTACCCTTGGAGCCATTGAGCTTCTCGCCGTTCATCTCGGCCATCTCCTTGGCAACAGTAGTGATAAGAGTGTTGCAGCGACGTCCGATTTCCTGTGGTGTTCTGCTCAAGAAGAACCAATCGAATCTGAACAGTGGCGATTCACGAATCTCATCACGAATCTTCTCGTACAAATTCTCGCTCTCAAGGCCGAAGCGATCAAGCATGACCAGAAGGAAGCGGTCCTCTTCCTCGGTATAAACTTTCTTGTTCGTAGTGCTGACAGTGTAGTTGATCTTCAGCTGCTGCAGCGGCACACGGTACATGCCCATCTTCTGGCGAAGAAGCTTGCCATGTTGGACAACCTTTGCGCGACGCTCTTCACCTTCGTTGATGGAGTCAATGTGCTTCTCCCAGTTGGCGATCTCCTTGTAGCGCTTCCAGAAGATCTTTGCGTAAGCCTTGATCTCGTCAGGCTCCTTGCTGTCGACTTCCAGAGCAATATCTTCGTAGTTTGTGCGTCCATACTTGGCACTTCCATTGATGAATTGCTGGAAGTCACGCTTGTTCCAGTCTCCGAAACCTTCCGCAGCAAGCTTATCTTTCTCACGCTGCTCCTCCTCAGTCAGAGGCTCAGCATCATCAATAGCCTGCTGTTCGAGAGCTTGGTCTTGTTCGCGTTGCTCCTTGTCCTCATCATCACCCTCAGCAAGTGGCGCCTTGATATTGTTCTCCTTGCGGAACCAGGCGGTTTCCTTGTCTTGAAGATCGGCGAGATGAGGGTTGAAGAATTGGTAATCGTGCATAGCCTGTTGCTTGGGTGCACGGGGGACCTTAGGCTTGGGGTCGGCTGTCCTGCCGCCCGTCATAAGAGCGTTTCGGTAGTACTTATCCATCGAGTAGGATGCCGGGTCCTTGCGCTCGCGCTTTGAGGGATTGATCCAGTTGATGCCGATTTCCACCTTCTTCTTGTTCTCGAAGTTCTCGCCGTTCCATTCGTAGGCAGATTCTGAAGTGAACTTCTGGAGGTCGTCCAGACCGAGCTTCTCATACCTCGAGTTCAGCTCAGCTGTACGCTCCTCGCCCTTCTTGAGAATCGCATCGATGTCGTCTTCGGACATTTCACCATTCTTCGCGAACGTGCCTCCAGCATTTGCTTCGAAAACCTTCTCAGCACCGTGCTGGATCATGTTCAAGAGCTCGTCCTTAGAAGCGGCCTTCTTGGCTTCCTGTTGAGCACGGCCTTGCTGAATGACAAGCTGATCCAGGCGGAGCTTCTGGGCGGCTCTCTCAAGCACCTTCTCCTCGATAGCGTTTTCCGTGACGAAACGGAAGACGACAACCTGCTTGGTCTGACCAATACGGTGAGCACGGTCCATGGCCTGCAAATCAGCCTGAGGGTTCCAATCACTATCGAAAAGAACGACGATGTCTGCAGTTGTCAAGTTGATACCTAGACCACCAGCACGGGTGGTCAGGAGGAAGAGGAACTTTTCAGAACCAGGCTTGTTGTACTCGTCGATGGCCGCAATACGGTCTTCGTGAGCCGTCGAACCGTCGATACGGCAGTACTGGTAACCGCGGAAGACTGAGTAATCCTCGAGAATGTCCAAAAGTCTGCTCATCTGGGAGAAGATAAGAACGCGACTTCCTTGTGCCTTCATGCGCTTGAGCAGCTTGTCGAGCATTATCATCTTGGCCGAGTTGTAAACCAGATGCTCATCAGTTGTGTATGGCGGACCAGGCTCTGCTCCATCGAAGAGGTAAGGGTGGTTGCAGCACTTGCGCAGTTGCATA